AGGGAGGGGTGCCTTTCCCATCACTATGATGACACCTTCCTCCCCGGCACTTCATCACGTGCAACATAGCCCACGGATACTCATCCTGTCTTGTGTGCAAAGTCTTCTCTGGCTGTCGGAACAAGCAAGGATGTGGTCCTTGCCTTCGGTATGCTGACTCCCCTGCTGGGGATGCAGGAGCAGCCCTGTTCCCTACAGGACCGGAGTCACGTGGTGCCACCGTGCACTGGTGATTCAGTCACGAGCCCTGGAGAAGCCTGAAGTGACTGCAGAGGAGCCTGGCATTTGAATGAGCGTTGGAGGTGGGGCCAGAGAAAGGAGCCGGCCAGCAGGAGGGTCCGGAGGGCAGAGGCATGAGGGTGGGAATTAGCTTGACGGGGTGGGGCTGGGGGCAGAGGAGGTGGATGCAGTGAGCTGGGCTTGCAGAAACAGCCGGACTGTGGCAGGAAATGTCATTACTTACCCTGCAACTTTCTTCCTTCACCCCCCCCCCCCCGAACTTCTCCATCCTCTCCGGCTCCTCAGTCAGCGATCACTACCTGCTCTGAGGGCCTTGCACATGAGTGGGACTGTTAGGAAGCCTCGCATGTGGGTGCAGATGTGAAGGCCTGTGGCCTTGATCAGGGAGGCCATCACAGGGTGGCTTCGATAGAAGTGGAGTGGGGAAGGTGGGGGACAAGGAGGTTGAGACCGTGATAGATTCCTGTCTGGCAGTGGGACCGAGCTTCTGGAGCCTCTTATGGCTAATGCGTGATTGACACCAAATGTATGTTTTTGTTCTGTTTCTCTGGCCAGGAAGATGCGGGCACAGGGAAAGCAGGCATCGCCCTGTTATACTTGGTGTGACTGTCACTCATGTATCCCCACCTTCTAAACAGCAGACCGTGCGCCTGTATAAGACGAGAGTGGGTGCAATTAGAGCCTTTCTTCAGAGCATGCCGAGTGTGGTGGGGTCAGCCCAAGGGTGAGCATGGCTCGGCCTCAGCAGCATTCTTGATTTAAAGACCTGCTTGTCCATGACACAGCATCCACCTCCCGGCCCCTGCTCTAGAGTGGGCAGCTGAGACAGTGCACTGCCTGCGGGAATGGAGGCTCCAGTTAGAATAGCAGTTCTCTACCTGTGGGCCGTGACCCCTGTGGACTACCCTTTCACAGGGGTCACTTCAGACCACCAGAAAACACAGATGTTTGCATTACAACTCATAAGAGTAGCGAAGTTACAGTGAGGAAGTAGCAACAAAATAATTTTATAGTGGGCAGGGGTCACCGCAGCATGAGGAACTGTCTTAAAGGGTTACAGCATTAGGAAGGTTGAAAACCACTGAGTTAGAAGCTGAAGTCTCAGCACTTCCTGACCTCACCAAAACCCTGTGTTATCCGGGGGGAGTCCGCACAGCCCATCCAGCCTGTGTGAGGCCCCAGCGCCTGCTCCAGGTCATCTGGTCCCTGGTCTGTTTCGGGGGACAGCGGCCTGGGTGTAGACAGGAGCTTTCTAGTCTTCATTCTGCCATTGAGCCTCATTTCAATCGCCAGTTGGAGAAATTCAGCTTCTGGCAGCCCTATTGTTTGGTTCATGGGCTGGGTATGGTGTTGTCCTGCAGGGGGTGCTATGTGGCACCTTTGGGCACCTTTCTGAGCCGTACCTGGGACTCCTGGGTTTAGAGAGAATCTGTGGTTTGGAGGACCTGTTATGGTAACTGCAGAAATCTAGTATTTGAGTCAAGAAAGACTGGAGATGGCCGGACGCTTGCCGCCTGAGCAGCTGAGGTGAATGTCATCTGCCTAGGGGATATAGGAAGGCAGACAGCCCTGACAAACAGGAGACTCCAGAACATTCTAAAAAAGCAGCGGCTGCGCACTGCCTGCAGTGCCTTGGGAACATGTGCTGCCTCGCGTCCATCACGGCTCCAGCAAGGTTGCTGTGGGGCCTTTGGTCTGCAGCAAAACTCACTGACCCAGAAAGAGAGATTTGAGTGGCCCTGTTTGCCCCCTCCCGGTCTGTCTCAGACTTTATTCCCAGAAACCAGCTTGAAGATTTCATTAGAAATCAAAGCATTGCTGGTTCTTTTTTTTTCCCCCATTTCTTTTTTAAAAGAAACATACTTGGCTGCCGTGACGGGTGTCCCCGCTTCCTGTGCTGAGAGGGGCGACGGGAGTCCTTGAACAGAGACTGAGCTGGAGCTGATCAATGGCATTTGGGGGTTGGGAAATTAGCTCAGGAGCCAGCGAATTCCTAATGTCATGTGGGCTAGACTGGAAGACCCAGGGGACAGGCCGTCTCTTGGCTTTCTCGCTCATCTCTCTGTAAAAGGGAAAGAGCGTACCTCACCTGACTGGGGGTCACTCCGTGGTGGACTCTACCCTGCCTGACCCCAGCCAGCTCTCTTCCCGCTTCCGTGCCCGTTCTCTCTCACTCTGGATGCCCGCGCCTGCAGACGCTTCGTTCTGCCTCGAGCTAATTTGTAATGGACACCTGTTCCTTAATTAGCCTCAGCTCCGGGTCGGCTGCTTCATCTGGGCTCCCTCTGCTGTGTGAGCTCGCGCCCTGTGCGAGGGCTGCTGTGCTGGGTGGCAGGGTGTCTATGCTGCCTGTGACCTGGTGGGCCCTGAACTTGCTCAGCTGTGGAGCTGAGCACTGGAACGAAGCACAGCCACTGTCCGGCCATCCGGTCACAGCTGGGGCTCAGTCCTAAAGGAGCTCTCTCCCACCAGGTCCAGTTGCCAGGGCAGACCTGGCATCTGGGCTAAATATGGACCGCTAAGCAGTGGGCCCTCGTTCTGACTCTCTGTCACTCACTTGGCCCCAGGGACCCTCTGTACCTAGGAGTCTACCATGGAGTTTTATGAAATGGGTATCTCATGTCCTGGAGTCTTTTCAAGGGTGTGCTGAGGATGAGGAAGATAGATCGGCCTCTGTGCAGGGGCCCCTGGAGGATGACCCTGGGTAGTGCCCTCCCGAATGCTTGCACTGCCACCACCCTGTTTCAGTGCACTAGAACGTTCTAAAAACCAGGCGTCGTGTTCTATGTGACAGCTGACCTTCCTCGTGAGCCACCCCAAGATTTCCCACTTTCACAGTTGGACGCCATGTTTGCAGCTGGAAACATCACAGGTCAGAGCTAAATTGCCTAAACCCAAGGCATACCAAGAGCCCAGGTCCCAGCAGACCAAAGGCGTTTGGACACATTTTGTGTTTATGCCTCTCCCTGTCAGCCCGGTCTCTCTGCTTCAACAGAGAAATTCATCAGTGGAAAGTTCCCCTGAAGTGGGGATTTTCCTAAATGACTTCCTGGTGGCGTTGCATGAAGACAGGCTGGGCTGGGGGCGGTGCCTGGTGTGCATTCTCTTACTGTGGTCCAGCTTTCCTGCCGGGGCTACATTTACCTTCACAGAGTCCCTTCCCTGCTGTCCACCCAGCCTAAGCAAATGCTTCTCTTGCCCAGCCCCCTTTTTCTGAAGAGAAGCAAGGCTGGTTCTGAGGCCCCAGCAGAAAGTCCTTCTCTCCAGAAAATCTCCCAGCCTGGAGGTTGCCAGCGCCTTCACCCTCCCCAGCTAATTAGCTCCTTTCTTAGGCGGTTCTGGAACCTTCTGTCATTCATTCTCGCAGCGATAATGGTCTTGGATAAGAGGTCACAGCTTCCCCCACTTCCTGCCCTCCTTGTGGAGGGGGTGGAGTGGGCTCCCCGCCCCCAGGAGCTCCCTCTTGTCTGTCACAGAAACTGTCTCACCTCCCACCCCACTTGGCAGCTGTGATGGCGTCACCCTGCTCAGAGGGTCAGAGCCCAGCTCCCCACGGTCCTTCAGGCCCCACCCCACCCCACCATACGCGCATCTCTGGTGAGTGTCATTAGCATCAGCGTGATGAAATGGCACAGTGTAAATGTTAATAGGGGCTGATGTTTTGCCTGCTTCCGAGTGGCAGATTGGAAATGGTACCATCTTAACTCCAAGGAGCAGCTTTTAATCCCTCTGCTTCCTGAGCAGCCAATTTGGCATGGAAAACCCAACTTCCCTCCCCTCTGAGACATCACCACATCTACCACAATTGCTTTTCATAAAGGGGTCTACGTAGCCCACAGATCAGTAGCCTAAGGCAGGGTTCATTTGTTTTTTAAGTTAAGCATTTTCCCCTTGGTCTCCAAAGGAAAGGGAAGAACTCGGGGGGGGGGGGGCAGCACCACAGGCACCCGGGTCTCAGAGCAGTTCACCTTCCACCCCTGACTTCTCCACTCCCAGCTCTTGTGTGTAGATGGGGGTGACCTTGGCCTCCCAGCCCTTCTGCTCCACCCTCATAGTGCTGGAGCAGCTGGCCTGGGATAAGGAGTATGTGCCATCACACCTGGTTTATGTGATGCTGCGGGCTGAGCCCATGGCTACCTCTCGCTTCCCAACCCCACTCCTGGTTCTTCCCTATCAATCCAGGACATTTCCCTAAGTGGTCCCAACAGCCCTGACTTGTCCTCTGTTCCCCTTCTTGCTGGGAGAGGATATCCCTATCCTTTCAGCTGCCCCTGCCAATCAGAGCCCTCGTGTCCCAGTTCCCTCTGTCTCTGTTCCCTCTGTCCTCTCTTCCCCGTGATGGTGAGGGTCTGTCTGGCCGTCCTTTTGGACGATGCATCTCACTGGTACTTCATCCCTAATCCACACTCAGCAGGACACTGCTGGGTCTGAGGCTTCCTCATCAGTGCCTGCCGAAGAAGTCAGCAGGATGGTTTGGGTGGAGGTCCCAGGCTTTATAAAGCCTGGGCCTTGCTCAGAAGTGGCAGTGACATCAGAACAGGGTGCGTGAGCAGCAGAGAAGTGAGGCTCTGGCTCTTCCATCTGCCTCTAGTCCTGGGTCTTTATCTTCAGTGACCTTGATGGGCCCCAGGAGGGCTCTGTCAAGAGGTGCAGGTATTCCCTGTGGTACTGCGGGCCTTAGCAAGGCCTCCAGGCTGCTGTCCCCACAGCCTGCTTCGTGTCACCTCTGCACACCGCCTCATTGCTCTTTTCATCCCCAGACTGTCTTCACCCTCCTCCTTGGACCTTTCACCTTCTTCGACGTCCAGAAGACTAAGTACCTGCAGATCTTGACCTCTCTGATGCGATGGATCGGTGAGTCTGAGAAATCTCCCCATTGTCTCCCCTTCTCCCCCACGCCTCCCTCCGCCTCTGCAGAGAAGCCAGGCAAACTCCCAGCTGGGATGTGGCAGCGGCTCCATCCAATCGGCCTGCCTGGTCCTCTGACCTTTCCAGAGGGCACGGAGAAGGCAAGTGCTCCGCCGGCCTTTTACTGACGGGGAAATTTAGTACCAAAAAAAATGCGAGTGACTTTTTCCAGGTCACACTGAATGGATGGGACTGGGCTGGGACCTGAGCTGCTAATTCTGGTCCAGCTCCTTCACATGACCGTGCTAGGTCGGGCTGTGCCCCCTGGACGGGACAGGAGCAGCACCACTCTGCCTTCTCGGGAGTGTGGTGTGTGCCACAGCCAGAAAACCCAGTGGGCCATGGTAGCAGCTGCTCTCGGCCTCTGAGCTCTGGACCACCAGGTGTGGAAAAGTACCCACATCATCTATGGTGGCTTCTCACTCACCGATGCCGCTGCGTGGCAGCACTCTTGCTCTCAGGTAGATGTTGGGGATCTTCCCCCCTTAAACTGGGTTAGCAGTGGGTATCTGTTCACTTCTGCCGTACCAGCCGGCCACCCTGGCAAAGGAGCCCGCAGCTGGTACAGCAGGGTTGAGGACGATCATCTGTGGGGCTGCTGTTGCCTCTCCTCTGACTGGCTGCCATGTGTCTGTCTTTCTCAGTATAAAAGCTTGTCTGGTATGCATGAAACCCTGCCTTGGTCCCTGGCATCAAATCAAACCAGATATGGTAGCATGTGCCTGTGCTGTAGCTCTGGAAGAAGCAGAAGTTCAAGGTCACACTTAGCTATAACAAAGTGAGTTAATTCAAGGCTAGCCTTGGCTACGTGGGACTTATCCAGGAGTCCCTATCCCACCCCCTGGCAGAGTTTCCAGGGCTCCTTCCTCCTGTCTATCCTGAGCCTGATCAACTCCCATCAGGACCAAAGCTGCAGACTGCCTCTGATTTTATGCCGTACCCCAGCAGGATGATGATTCCGCTAAGGTCTGCATCTTTGAACCCTGGTTCTCCTAGCTCAGTGGGAGGAGGCATGGGAGTCCTGGTTCTACAGTGGGAAGCAGGGGTGGGGGTCATTCTTTCAAACAGCCTGGCCTGCCCAAGCTAGAGCAGGCTCTGCAACTTGGGGGTGAGGCAGCCCCCCAACTCTCTCAGCCTCAGAAGGCTTGGTGCCTAAAACTCAGGGTCAGCAGGGGCCAGATCTGAGCTGGTCCCCCTCTCTTTATCTTGGCTTATGTGATGTGTGTGAGAGTTCCAGGGTGTCTTTTGCGGGCAGGGTTGGAGAGGAATGTTCTCTGTCTGCATCTCCCTGTGTCTGTTATCCAATTCCTTTCCCTCCCTGAGGGTAGGTTGACAAGTCTGGCCCCCGCCCTGCTGGTGCTTGCTTGCCTGTCCTCAGCCCGGGACGGGCTCTCTAAGCTCCGGTCTGAAGCTGAGTCTCTCATTTCTTCCTGTGGCTGGGATGACATTGAAGGATGGGGGGTGCACATGCTCTGACTAGCTTGATGGATTCCTGTGTCAGCCCATAAGGGGACAACAACCCTAATAATGACAGTTAACTTCTATATTTTTGAAGGATGTATCCATCTAAAGAGGGAAGCTTGGACCCAGTGTAGTGGCACACATTTATAATCCCCACACGTAGGAGGCGGCAGGAGGATCAGGAGTTCAAGGCCAGCCTCAACTACACAGAAAACCCAGCTTGAGCTACAGGAGACCCTGTCTCAGAAAGAGAGGAAGTGGAAGGAAGGATTTGTGAAAGGGGAAGGAATTGGTTAATAGTAAATATTTCTTGTAAGCACCAGGACCAGGTCAGAATTACAGCGGAGCTCTGAGACACAGCTAGTGAGGGTCCTTGGCTCTTTGTCTCTGGGCCCCACGCTGCTGTCTTGACACGTTGTCTGCACCGCCATTTCCCCTCTTTCCCTTGGAGCCGAGAGATAATGAAATGCCACGAGTCTCCCGGGCGCAGTGCTGTGGGCGATGGAGCACAAGGCCATCATTTTTCTCTGTGAGAGACTCAGACCTTTGGACTTAAAAAGCTGGGCCTCCTAGTGACAGAGCCGCCCAGGAAAAGGAGAGCTGCCGTTTAGTAAACTCAACCATAGTGAGCCAGGTTAAGTTCCCAGCTGGGGCAGAGGAACTACCAGGACAGTTCTCTCCTCAGCAAGGCTAGGAACAGGCTTTTTCTTCCACCTAACGCCTGGTCTCGCTCTAAAGAGGAGAATCCCCCAGAAGCACCCAAGCTGCACCAGACAGCCCTGTTCATGGAAGGGACCTCAGCCTGCCCTGGGCCGCAGCAAGGGTGCCTGTCTGAGCCAAGCTCACCCCAGGCAGTTTTTCTAGAACACCCAGAGGCCCCATTTGTCCTCAGGAGCCTTTGCCAAGTTGTCATTCTGCCTCTGAGAAGCAGCTGTGTGGCATGTCCCTCCCAAGACCTCCTCCCCACACCCCGCCCCCTCCCCCTTTAACTTCCCTCCTTCCCACCCTTTGCCAGCACACACTCTTTCTCTCCCCTTTCCCCAAATGAGGGCCATGCCTTTTCAAGAGCTGAGTAGGGAGCTCAGAGAGGCAGTAAGCTGGCTCGGGTTCCAGAAGATGAGGAGGAAGAATAGGCACCAAAGGGACCGGAAAATGGTGAATAAATGTGCTGAGCCGGAAAGTTTCTCGCGCTTGATGAGGAATTTGTTCTGCCATCTGTTGACATGAAGCCGGGGTCGATGGCAGGCCCCCAGAGCTGTGCCTGGGAGCCTCGGGTTCATTCCTCTGAGGGCTCTTCCTCTGCCCTTCCCATACTTTGCGAGTCGCCTTGTGTTTCCACAGTGGGATTTGAAGGCTTAAATGGCCTTTGCAAATAGCCAGTTGTCCAGGGAAAATGTCAGGATATAGGTGACAGATGCCAGTGTGGGTTCATTTTGCCTGCCAGGCTGGCTGATTCGGGGTCCTTCAATCTGTGTGTGTGTGTGTGAGAGAGAGAGAGGGGGGGGNGGGGGGGGGGGGGGGGGGGGTTCTATTGCTGTGAAGAGACACTATGACCACAGCAATTCTTATAAAGAAAACATTTAACTGGGGTGGCTCACTTACAGTTTCAGAGGTTCAGACCATTATCAGGCATTATCTGTCTGTGGCATACAGGCAGAGGTGGTGCTGGAGCTGCGAAGGCTACATCTTGCAGGCAACAGGATGTCAGCTGTCACTCTGAGGGAAGCTTGAGCAAATGAGACCTCAAAGCCATCCCCACAGTGGCACACTTCCTCCAACAAGACCACACCTTCTAATACTGCCACTCCCTTTGGGGGCCATTTTTTTCCAAACTGCCTGTGTGTGTGTGTGTGTGTGTGTGTGTGTGTGTGTGTGTGTGTGTGTGTGTGTGTGCTTAGCCTGCATGTGTATATTTCTGTACCACATGAGTGCCTGGTGCCAGGTGGTCAGAAAAGGGCATCAGATCCTCTGGAACTAGAGTTACAGACAGTTAACTGCAATGTGGATGCTGGGATTCGAACCTGGGTCCTCTGCAAAGAGCAATAAAGGCTCTTAACTGCTGAGCCCACACTTCAGGCCTGAGGGTACTTGGACGGTAAATTCCTCTGAAGAGGAATAAATTCCAAGGATAATCTCTGCTGTTCCCAGTCAGGGAGATTATCCTCCAGGCCAGCACAGACCTCACTGCCAGCCCGTGGTCTTCCAGCTGGCTCTCCCAGGCAGCCGCTCCAGACTGTCCACAGCTGTGTAAGCACAGGGCCTCACCTGGATGCTACAGCTGCTGGCTGTCGCTGCACCCTCCAGCCTTGCTCCCTTTAATGTGGCCCGACGACTTCCTCTCCCACTATGCACAGACCAAGCTTCCGTCCTCTGGGACCCTCTTCTGGGCTGTGGCAAGGAAGACTTGCCTCGCTGAGGACTGTGAAGGCACAGAGAGCCAGACTAGGAGGTGCCTGTCAGAATCATGCCTGGCACCTGCTCGGCACCCAGACAGCCACATCGTCCTCATCTCCACCAGTCAGCTGACTGTGGCCTCAGGATGAACCTCCCCCGTGGACTGGCTTTGAGGTCAGGGACATTGCCTCAGCCATGTCCAAACAGAGCTATGCTTCCCAGTACCCTTCAGGCAGCCTGTCTACCCTCTATCCCCACACCCAGCTGTGGTTCCTGCACCTCAGCCCCCACACACACACCTGAGAGAAATGAGCAGACTCATCCGTGTAGTTGGGGTATAGGGAATTAGCTTTAGTCCTAGCCCTCTGTCAGCAGCAGGTGGCCCAGGGACCTGTGTCAGCTAAGGCGCTGTCCTTCATTCCCACAGATCCAGCAACCAGGGCCTTCCGTCCTGAGCCCAAAGCAACAAGACTTAGACCTGTCGGTGGCTCCCTCCCTGGATGCCCAGCTGGCTGCCCCATGGGAGCTCTTGGGCTAGAAGGGGTTGCAATGGCATTATTACTTCAATCCTATTACCCACCCAGCCCTCCCCGCTCGCTTGCACACAGATGCCTCCACTTTGGCTCGCCGACAGCTGGCTCAGCTCGGGGCACCCCACCGGTGTTATTAAAAACGCATTCCTTCTAATAAAGGCTGCTATGGGGCAGCACCGCACTCCTCGGGGCTTCGAGGACCCACGGGACTCCCCCCACCCCCGCCTCTGTTTGTGTATTCAGAGCTACCGCTGCAGCCTGCTCTCCAGCTCCGCACTCCCCTCAAAGTGGGTCAGACACCGTCCTTGCCAGGCATCCATAGAGGAGCTAGGGCCGCTCTGCCTGGGGAAGTTGCTCAGACCTGCTCTCCCACCCCACCCCCTATGAGTGCCCCAGGTTTGTTTTCCAAGCCAGCAGGCGGTGCAGCTAGGCAGCCTCGACAAACAAGGCTGTGGGTCCCCAGGAAGAGACCTTAGCCTGGGAACAGGAGGGCTTTCCGGCTTCTCCTGTCCCCAGGTCTGTGGTGGCCCCAGCAGAGAGTCTCCCAGTGGGGCTGCT